TCGGTGGGGGCCGATGCGAACTACTGTCAGCGGCGTGATTATCGGGCATAATCGTCGGTCCCGAGATTACCGGGTGTAACCGACGATCCCGAGATTACCGGGTGTATACGTTGCGAGATTAGCGGGACTACCACCCATAAGTAGAGGACTTCACTCCACGATCAGGTATGATGATTTCTGGCCTCGAACTAAACTGGGAATCCGACCTATACTGACTTGATCGTCGGAGTGCTCACCTTTTTGTGCAGGTCCGCCCAAGTGTTCAGATCGATCCGGAGGCCGAGTTCGAGCTGCAATCTGAAATACACTGTTGTGCATATCCTTGCATAAACAACGTTTGTTCCCAATTTCATTATTAACAGTTGGTGTGAATTTTGCGAAATCCTGATAAGCCAAATTTATGTATAAAAAAGTAACAACATGAATGTAGATGAAGGGTGTAGGAGGAGAATTTTCCCTTTTGTTATTTTAATTTTAGTTCATTTTAGTCCCTATATTCTCTTGAATTTTTGTGGATTGCGTTGGAGGAAATCTACTAAAGCTAGGCAAGGCGACCATATTGGTCTATATTTGCAAAATCTTAATATAAAATTTATACACGATAGAAATCCTTTAATACAAATTTATGATCATATTTCAAAAAATTTAGCGAGTGAATTGTTATGTTAAAATTGTGTGGCCGAAATAAATGAGATAAAAATGAAAATGAGAAAATAAAAATGAACTAAATGATCAGTACACTAACCCAAAATATTATTCAAACATATATTTTACGTATAAATTACAATACTAAATTACTTTTCAAGATTTAAAAACTTAAACAAGGTTTTGGACCAATAATATTGATTTCGTTTATTTTATTTTTCTCCATTTTTTTAGTATAACAATTGAGGTAATGAGATTTGAACTCATAAAATCATAATCTTCTACATAAAAGGTAAGTGAAGCTGCTCATATTGACATTTTTCTCTCTTTTTTAAAAAATAAAGGAACTAAAATAGTATTTAAACTTATATTTTACTGCTACTAAATTACTTTTCGAGATTTAAAAACTTAACAAGGTTTAAAACATTACTTTTTAAAGTTAATAAAGGATGTTAGCTTATTTTATGTTTCCCTTCTTGTAAAATAATAAAAGATGCTAATTTAATTATACGAATAATTATATTACGCAACGATAACATATGAACAAAGGATATTAGGTTCGATCTTTGTCTTCTACCTCCTGATTTGACAACTTTTCAATCTTACCCCTAAGGAAAGTCCCTCATTTGTAGCCTCAATGAAATCACTCTTTCAAGAAAAGAAAAAAAACATATGAATGAAGGGTTTGAATTCGTATCCTATTTCAATTATAATATGATACTTAATAAAATTAGAAATTGAATTTATTTGGATCCGGTGAGGTGTGTTTATAGTAAATCTCGTGAGCCTGGATTTTCTGAACGATCAAGACCTGATCTTGTTCAACATCCAGAATGGGGCAGCCCTAGGGTAGAATGGCGACACCAGTTTCAATCTCAAGTACGTTTCTCTGTTTCTGCAATTTTATATTTGGCAGGCTTCAATTCATTCTTTCAGCAGTTAATTTTTTCTCTCCATTGATTCATCTTTGAGTTGATTTCGCTTTCCATTATCTTCCATTGACAGTGTTTCTGCCGACCTAAAAACCTAGCTGGAAGAATCACTTCTGAGCGAATAATTCTCCGATCCAAGTACAACGTTTGTCCTCCATTTCTTTCTTCTTTGTTTGTGTTCCAGGATCTGAGTAAACAGTTGATTATGTCGGTGAGAGGGAGGAAGGTCTCCGCCCGAGGAGAAGCGGTGGCGGCGAATTATGCTTTTGGACCACTCGAGGATGACGTTATTATAAAACACAGGCTTCTCACCCGGACGACGACCACGAGGGGGGAGCCTCCGTTGAAGAAGCTCCAGAAGAAATTCACTTCCTTTGTTATTGAGATTGAAAAGGATGGGAGTAACTATGATGACTGCGAAAAGCTTTCCAGAGCTTTCTTACAAGAGCTGTCCACATTTGAGATTCCTTTGCTCAAGAGCAAAGCAGTTGTCGATGCAAATATTAGAGAAAAGGAGAGCTTCCATGAGTTCAAGGATGAGATAAACAGGCAAATTTTGTTAGCCCAGGATGATATTGAAGATCTTAAGAAGCAGCTTGAAGAAAGCAAAATCGAGAGGCAACACAAGGAGGAGTGCGAGGCAATTAGGAAACTTATTGCAGCACAGCCGCCCAGGTCTGTGACACAAAAGATTATTATGGAGCTAGAGAAAGAGATTGCTGCACTTGATGCGGAGAACACTGCTAGTTCAAGGATGCTGGAGCTTCGCAAGAAACAATTTTCTCTTTTGTTGCACGTGGTAAGTTCCCATCAGCAATGTTTTTATAGTTGTATTCTTTATCTGTACTTTAAAAATAAACATTTTGCTCTTTTTATTTGAAGATTTGTCAGTTTAGACTTCGGATTTCCTCCCCATTTTTTTCCACCTTTGAATTGTCTTGGGATTCTTAGATAGGTTGGTGTACCGAGAAGATTAAGGTGTCTATACTATCAGTGCTCCAACCCCTGAATTTTGGCCAATTTATGATTTAAGGAAGAATGAAAATGGGTATCACTGCAAGTTGCTATTTATGGTACTAGGTGCAGAGATAATATGAAAAAATGGTTTGATAAGGTGGTAATTTTTAGTGTTCTGTCTTCAACATCAAGGATTATTATTTGAAAATCTCTGCCGGCATGAACCAAAGTATAAAAGCAATCCAAGTTGCAATTTTTGTTTTAGTATTAGAAATCTGATCCAAGTTACAGTCTTTGTTAGTATGAGAATTCTCTGACCTCTCCTCGTTTTATTAAGTTCAAAACTGTGGACCATTTGTCCATAAAACATATGGTAGCTAGGAAACATGTTCAATGTCTGATATCCTGCATAGGTTGTCCTAAGGGCTTTTAAACTCATTACCTTTTTATTGTTTTGTGTTTCCACAGTCTCTCTCTTTCTTGCTGAGTTGGAGTTAGACTTTTTCTCCTTCTTTTGTCCTTCGGAACGAAATATTCTATTGATAAGATGAATTACTAAGGAAGAAGCCCCCCAGAAGTTCAGTCACAAAATATTTCAAAGAATGCCCTTCCGCACGATTTAGGCTTTTGATAGATGTACTCCCTTTCCACCTTCAAATGATTGATTAGGCTCAGTTCTTCATAGCAGATCACTTTGGAAACAAGATTTTTTTGTTTCAGCCGCAGACTCAAAAGACAAAAAGTAGAATTTTTATTCCCCTTCTTTAATTTCCCTTTTAAGTATACATTTTAATCTGCAAAAAGATTTCCTCCTAAAAATGACATGACCACCCGTCACCATCAGCAACTCAACAATGAAAGAGAATCCTTATGGATGACTGGTGAGCCACATACTTCTTTCCTTTGCTTTATTCCTCAAAAGACTGGCAAACTACCTCCTCCGTACCATCCAACATATAAAGCTCAAAGAACAAGGTGGAGAGCTATAATAGAATTTTTAGAGGGGTGTAGTGACATTAGGAGGAGATTTAGTCCCCTTCTTAGGTTTCATGCCTCCCTTTGCCCTTTGGGCTTCAGTGTGTAAGGATTTCTGTAATCACCTTTTAGGCCTTATTTTGCTTGATTGGAGCTCCCTTTTGTTTTAGTTTGGCTCCTCTTGCGGGTTGTTTTTTTTTTTATATCTCTTATATTCTTTCTTTTTCTTTTTGGAAGCTTGGTTTATCATTAAAAAGAAGCTCATAGAACGAGGTATCTTTTTGAGCTGCAGTGTTGCCAAGCATCTCAATATTCCAAACTTCTATCCTTTCTTTTGGAGAAATTATAATTTTAACATATAAGCATGACTTGACCATCCGACACCATCAGGCAATCAGCACCCCTCAATTTCACATCTAACATTGGAAAAAATCCTTTTGACTTGTGAGTGAGCCACACATTTTCATTTTGGAAAGGAGGATAGATACGACTTGGGATTGCCATCCTCCAGCTCCAGTTATATGGGAAGTGATTGGAAGTTGATCTATGAAGGCTTTTAATTCTGGGGTTGTGAAAATTTTCTACCCACTCCTTGGAAGCCGACAAAGAAAGTGCTGCCCTCTCCATCAGATTGGTCCAATTTCGAAATCAACCCAGCACTAGAGAAAGGTCAATCAAAGAGAGATCATAAATCAGCCTATTTAAGCGTCTCTTACTTTTGGTCAAGGAAGAATAAAAACACGTACAAGACTTCTCAAATGGGCCGCCTAACTTCATTAAGATCCTTTTGTTTTTTTGTTTTTTTTAATGTTTTGTTCCTCTTTGTTCACACCCAAGCATCTGAGCAAAGACCAGCGAGAGCTTCCAACTCAAGTCAAAAACCAGAAAAAGAACCTTGTTGTAGGAAGACCATAAATCCTAAAATCTAGCAAGAAAAAGCATCCCTAGAGAGAATTTAACAGAGAAGGAAAAAGCACCTTCAACAACTTTAAAGTTTTAACAAAAAAAAAAAGGATTGGCCACCAAGGGACAGCTCGGTTGGCAAAGGCTTGGGGTTTCTTGATTATATTGGCTTGTTTCAAGTTCGAACTTTCT